GTTTAGGGTTTAGGGTTTATGAACTCCCAACAAACCCGAGTCCTTATCCGAATATCTGCCCACCCATGCCCGAAGCTCAAAACCTAACCGGGTCCATGAACCCATAAAGTACAGATCTTGCTCCTAAGCTTCTTACGGTCACCACCTCAATGTAGCATCCCCTTCAGGGCCCAAGTATGTACAGCACAGTAAGCACATGAACTCCTAGCGAACCCTAAACCTAGAGTCTAAAACCCTGCAAAACCCCAAACAATCGCCTGAACTTTACACTTTAAGTTCTATTACCCCGGAAGGCCAAATACAACTCAACAGCACTTGTAAAACAAGCCCACAGACCCCTCAGCCTAACACTTGCCAAAAACCAGCAAACAACCCCTATCAAAGTTTATCGACAACCTATTCAAGGTCAAAGCAAACGCAGCCTAAGACGCACAAGAAAACTCTTTGCCCTGCAACTCTATAAAAACGACGGCCCCAAAGCTCTGATCCTCCCTAAATCCCTAAACGCTAAACCCTACACCCTAAGCCCTCAAACCCTGAGCCCCAAACTGGAAACCCTAAACTCCATCCCTAAACCATCCTGCACCCCCGAAAGCCCCAGGACCCACTCCCCGAACCCCCGAATTAAGCCCTAAGCGCTCAAATCCCTGGGCCCTCTATGTGAGCCTCGCCCCCCCACAAACACTAAATCCTACCCCCTGCAGCCTAAACCAACCCTAAACCCCTGAAGCCTACACCCTAAACCCCTAAACCGTAAACCCTGCAAAACAAGAAACAACTCTGAAACGCCGCCCAAACCAAAAAAGCAAATTGAACCTCCCTAAACCCCAAAAAATGAAAGCCCCCCAAACCAAAACAAACAAAATTGAAACCCCCCAAACCAAAACAAAAAATTGAAACCCCCCAAAGCAAAAAACAACATGACCCCCCCCAAACCAAACCAAACAAAAATTGAAACCCCCCAAACAGAAAATTGAAACCCCCCCAACCCAAACCGAGGGGCGCCGAGCGCGCGCTGTCGCGGTGGGGACTCGGCGCTGGGCCATGCTCCGGCGACTCACGAAGTTCGATCATGGCTGCTTTTGTTTTTTTAAAGATCCTGTCTTAAGGCTAAAGGGTTTAAGGGCTTAGGGTTTTAGGGTTTAGGGTTTAGGGTTTTAGGGTTTAGGGTTTAGGGGTTTTGGGAAAAGGGTTTAGGGTTTTTGAGGGCTTAGGGTTTAGGGCTTAGGGTTTAGATAAACATAGGTGGTACTGTCTAGTGGGTTTATGAAAGGTTCGAAAAGTCGCTCTCGATTTGTGCGTTTAGTGCATGCTTCTCACGACAGGTCTCAGTAACATGGGCTTAGGGTCTGTTGTCGATGGAGTGCATGCTCAGTGAATTAGTAAAGTGCAAGGGCTTCTAATAAACCCAATGAGTTGGAAACCGGATTAGGGACAAACAGTCCTGGGATTCCCTATACATGAGTCTAAAGGATTGCGGCCATTGGGTTTCCAACTTTTTTGGGCCTCTACTATAATACCCTTTCCCTAAACCCTGAACCCCAAACCCTAAACACCAAACCCGAAACCCTAAACCCTAAACCCTGAACCCTACCCTGAACCCTACACCCCACACCCTAAACCCTATAAGGCTTCAGGGGATGAAGGGCCTTAGAGCTTGGGTAGCTATGGCGAAGGACTGTAGCTTTCTAGGATTTCGGGTCGATTAACAGGGTCATGGGGCAGGGTTTAGAAGCCGTTGCTGTTGTGCGGGCCCCTAAATCCTAAACCCCAAACCCNNCCCTAAACCCTAAACCCTAGGGGATTGGCGGATCGCGGGCTTTAGGAGCACTAACGTCGGATTTGGCTTGGGGTGGGGGTGATGGCTGCGGCGTTAAAAGCCAGAGCAAATTTGAAATTATGTCTGAAATTCCAAGAATCTTACTTACCAGTGTTATTCTTTATAGAGTTCCTCATGAAGTTCCTCATTACAAGTGTGAACAAATAAACAAACAAATAAACAATACGACAAACAGATGCACAATTCACGAACAATATCTCTCTCTCTCT